TGATGTAATGACAAGAGAAATGGAGAAAGAGCGAGCAAGTGAGAGGAAAATATAGCTCCTTTTTTCTTTCCTTTCATGTCACTAAATTGTGTTTCTGTGTACATTGTAGGGTACACTTTCTGATGGGAGAGTAGTGGCTGTGAAGCAACTTTCAGTAGCATCTCACCAAGGGAAGAGTCAATTTGTATCTGAAATTGCTACCATATCTGCTGTGCAACATCGAAATCTAGTGAAATTGTATGGATGCTGCATCGAAGGCAGCCAACGCATTTTGGTTTATGAGTATCTTGAAAACAAGAGCCTTGATCAGGCACTTTTTGGTACAAACCTATCTACTTTTAGGTTGCATAAAAGCAGCATTTTCTGCAATTTCATGCACTCTAAAATTTTTTTTAAATGTTTTTGATTGGATGTGTTCACAAATATTTCAGGGACAAGTAACTTGCACCTTGACTGGCCTACTCGATTCAATATATTGTTGGGAACAGCAAGAGGACTTGCTTACCTTCATGAGGAGTCAAGGCCAAGGATTGTACATCGAGATGTCAAAGCGAGTAATATTTTGCTTGATGCAGAACTCTCCCCAAAAATATCAGATTTTGGACTAGCAAAGCTTTATGATGACGAGAAAACCCACATCAGCACCCGGGTTGCAGGGACAATGTAAGCCATCCTTTATTGTTTTTCCGTAGGTTACATATATTATAGCCACACACATTTATAATTGCATGAAATTTTAATACACATCATGTTAATAATGCTACTAATGATCTCAAGAAACATTGTGCAAACATTTTATTATCTTGCATTGCAGAGGCTATTTGGCACCAGAGTATGCAATGCGTGGACATTTGACAGAGAAGGCTGATGTGTTTGGTTTTGGAGTCGTTGCTTTGGAGATCCTCAGTGGGAGGCCAAACTCTGACAATAACTTAGATCCAGAAAAGATTTATCTTCTTGAATGGGTAGGAATTGCATTCCCCTAGCTTTATTTTGGCATTGTTGTGAAAAACTTATTCACCCTTTCCTTGGACCATGGCATAATGTTTTCAGGCATGGACTCTACATGAAAACGACCAAATTCTAGGGCTGGTGGATCCGAGATTGACAGAGTTTGACGAAACTGAAGCGACTAGATTGATAAGAGCATCTCTCCTATGCACGCAGGCATCACCGATGACGAGGCCATCCATGTCACGTGTGGTGGCAATGCTCTCTGGAGATATTGACATAAGCACTGTCATGTCGAAGCCGAGCTATTTGACAGATTATGATTTTAAAGATGTAACGACATTGTCAACAGGTAGCTTTTTGATGAAGGATGATACCCCATCAACTGCATCCAAGTACAGTAATGTTCGCCTCAACTATCAGCCCGAAGGCAGCAATGCAAGTGGTGTTAACACCCCCGGGGGTGACCTTGCACCTTCTCCTGTAAACGTCACTCAATCAATGCTCACTGGCATTATTGGAGAAGGAAGGTGATAAATAATGAGAAATAATTTCCGCACGCTCCTTTTATCCCTTTATGCACCCTGTACTTGTCCTTGGGTCTTTTCTACCTCTGAGGTTTTGGCTATGATGATGTATATCTAAAATAAGATACGATTTTATAGATATTTGAGTCAAACTTACATGTCAATTTTGTGTTAGTAAGTTGCAGTGTAAATCTCCTCTTTTAATCAAGAGGAAAAAAATGGATGTTTCTTTTTCTATAGTTGGTGCTATTCACTCCCATTTTAACTTTTCACACATTTTTTTGTTATTTTTTGTCTTTTGATATTTTTTTAATTCATTCGATCTGACGGTCCGAAATTGAAAAGAGTGAGTGGAGGTAAAAATAGGTGTGAATAGAACCGCCCTTTTCTATCCAATAGCAAAGTACGTATAATAAAACATAAGCAACCTTAGTAGGTGCCGATAAACAAAAGCTACGAGTTTTCTCTTGATGAGTTATTGTCGATTGTTGATTGATTATGGTGTCACCCTAATGTGACTGTTGGGTAGGGTTTTTGCATAAGCCAACTCTTTTAAATGACTGATTGTTAATTGTTGATCGGTCAGTGTCACCTGAGGAGGATCTTTGGTAAAACTGCCATGTAAGTGTCACTTTTCTCACATGAGTGGTCTCAACGGTGGGGCCGGATAAAACCAAAATGCAGGGAAGTTCATGCTCACCAAAGCAGATCTCAGTTAAAAAATAACCTCGGATTAATCAAAGATTCCAAAGCAACATCAAGCCGTCTAAGGCTATGGTGGTTGTCTAGTTGTCTTTGTGCCTTTTTTCTTTACATTTGGAAGCATATTCGTGCGTGAAACTGCCAGTGCCAGATCACTTGAGGCAACAAGTCCAGGCCCCACATTTTATTCGTTTCTACTGTCCCCACGAAAAGTGACCGGTAGAATTTGAACGTTGCAAGCCTACCGTTTTCCAGTCCCACATTTTTATTTCTTGTCACTCACTTTGCTCTTCTGGACAGAATCAGAAACCTCCAGATCATCATACTTCACTCTACAAAGTACCAATTACGTACACACACACACACACACACATACATAGCAGCGCGCGCGCACACACATATATAATACTCCCTCCTAGTCTCATCAGAACTCAAACAAAGAAGGTGAGCTTTGGAGAAGTGAAAGTAGTAGCAGAAACTAGAAGAAGAAGGGGAGACATGGGTATGGTGGTGGTGATCTCTCTGCCTTTTATTTTGTTCACCATACTGCTGGGTTTCGGGTGCTACTTCTTCGGGAGAGCGAGAGGGCGAAAGGATGCGATTGCCACGGCTCAGGTTTACGGGGTGCCTGCTCCTCCACCAGGAGCTAATAACCCCCTCCCTTCATCTCCTCCACCTCATCCCTTCAAACACGACAACCCTGCCAATGTTTAGCACCAACAAATTGTGTGTGGTTTTTGTTTTCGTTGTTTGATATTCATTTTGGTGTGAATTCTGAGCCATGTATATTTGTTGTAAACTTGAATCTTACTGAATGGTAGGAATACATTATTTGTTGTAAACTTGAATTCTAAGCATATGGCGTGATGAATTTTTTAGCAGGATCGTGGAATCGAAAACTTAAGAAAAAGAAAATTGATAATACTACAAGCACAACAGAAAAATCAGTTCCACAACCAAACTAATTAGTATGATGACTTAAATAGATGATTAGATAGATAATTATAGCGTTTAACCACAGTCCACCATTAAAAATATGGGAAACAATGGAGGAGAGAGGATAACAGAAAAATATGAAAGCTTAAGTAAGGCCTAACGATGGTATGGAGAGGAACTTTTACGACCCAAGAAATATATAGATGAACACATTCACATGAGTGATTTGTGCGCGAGTCAGTCAGTCGACTACTGCCAGAGTTTGATAGGCTGGGGCAGATACAGCAGCTTCCATGACATGGTTGGGGCTGATGTCACCATCATTTTCGAAGAAGGACTCGAGCAGCTTGTACGAGAAGCCACTCAACAACGTCACCCCTGGTTCTGGTTCTCTACAATGCCCAGCCGAATACTCAGGTTTGATCATATTCCAAATGACTAGGTGTGGCACCACATCTCCATACCCCTTCTCCTTATGCTTGTTCCGTATTTCCTCGTAATTAGTCTCCCCCCAGAAGCTGAAGTTGCTGCCTGTCAGGAAGTGTTTGTATGTCGTCAAGGCAAGCACCTTCTTGACCTTCTTATCTGGCTTCAAATTCGCATTCACTGCCTCCTCTAGAATCACATCGAACACCTTCCCGAAATCAGCCGTCCAGTCCTGGCTTTTGATCAAAGTCTGCATATATTCGGCCCTCGAATTAAGATCCTCGCCTTGTATCGAATGGAGCCGAGGGTTTTTGCTGTAAGTCACCACCTTTCCTTTCCACGGCTCGTCACTCAATTGAGGCAACAAAAGCCCTTAAGCCAAACCCGCCGACAAGGTGTTGTCGATATTACACACAGCCAACCAATTCTTCAGCTTCCCCTGCTTTGAGTAGACCTCCACCATTTTCTTCCAATTAACATCAGCCTCTTGCTCGAGCTCAAGATACTTGATATAGCTTAATATGTCATTCGGAAGCAGCACAGCATCATCGGGATCAATCTCATCGGCAGCAACCACTTGCTCTCGCTTGAACGCCGCTCTATAACCCTTCCGGTTAGCAGGTTCCTAGCCCCTTGGCACCATAGTTTTTCTCAAGGGTGACAAAACCTCCTTCCTCAGTCGGTCAATACAACAAACACTACCAGCCCCTTCTCGGCGGCATGATTCTGGCGGAAAACCTTCCTTGCGATGTTTGCGAACAGCATATGATGATCAGCGGTGGTAGGCAAAGAGGCAGCCGCTTGGGTAATCTCCAAGCAGTAGTCATCATGATGGTCATGGTCATGATCCTTGTGATGAAATAAGGTAATAAAGTAATTTTACATTTACAGTTTAAGTGCAGGTTACATGGATTCAAATAAAATTTATCTTTACAAAAATTAGGGATAAAAATACTTAAAAATACTTACAAGAGTACAAAGTTATCGTAGTATAGCAACTCAAGTAAGGTCGTTTTCCATAAGAATTGATTGAATAATTTGTATTTATACTAATCATTAGCTAATTATTTAGAACAAAGTTTCGAAAATATTGATTTTGAATTTTAAAATAATAAAAGTGAATTTAAATAAAAATAATTAAATAATTGATAAAGTAAAGAAGGCAAAAGACAAAGGTTTTGAAAAACAATTTAAATACTAAGGTTCTGCCATCACCATTAACAATACTATATAATTCTTGTGAGAATCCGAATTTTTTTTAATTAATTAGTAGTGCAAGTGTTTGATTTAACTCTCTAATCTATATAATTAAACTAATATGTAAATTGGTTCATATTTTTTTAGATTCATTATATATATATATATATATATATATATATTATATTATATACTATATACATCTGAAAAAAAAGGACAAATACAATATTTTGTTATTACTTTATTTTTTTTATTTTTCCTTCTTTTGGACGACAACCCCAATAAGGAGTTCACAATATGCTTATCTTCTTTTGTCTGGAAAGGGGAAAAGAAGCCCTAGCTTTTTCTCTCTTCGAATTTCATAAGCAAGAAATAAGTTTTTGTCTTTTGAGTCTGTAATTCCATACTTATCTAGAGTCAAATTGGAGTAGCCAACAAGTAATTCATGAGGTAAGTTTGTTTTTGTTTCCTTATGACTGTACATTGAGCTTGTGTTTTACATGCTTCTCTCTCTCTTACCACCACGTAGGAATTTGAAATTAGGAGGTGTGTTATTTTCATTTGCTAGGATTTTCATCTCAATCTAGTTACCATGTGGGTAGTCAAATAAATCCTCCTCTTACTGCTAGCAAGCAGGAGGTGTTCAATTTCTGTGGCTTGGTGGATTGTGTCACTTGAGTGTTAGTTCCAGAACTTGTGGAGTCTATGGAAGGAGGTGGAGGTCTAAGGAGCAGGTGGTGAAGAGTCTAGAGTTAGGTATCATGATTGTTGGGGATAAGTACGAGTTTTTATCCAGTTAAAATGAAACAAAAAACATGTATAAATAGGGAGTCAATAGTTCTCTTGAGAATCAATAGTAATAGAAATGTCAGACAAAAAGCTTTATAGTTTCAAAAGGCTAGCGAAGGAGAAAGGGTGCTAAGAGTTGAAGTATTTTTCTTTTGGTTAGACTTCTCATTCCTTTCATTTGTTTCATTTTTATTTTAGGGGTGCTTTGAAGAGGTTGGTTAATCAATAGTCAATCTCTTTCAGTTAAAAACCCTCATAATTTTATTATAGAATGTTCAGTTTTTTCTTTGATTTCAAAATATACTTATGTTCTGTTACTGTTTAAAACAGAAAGCTTTCATAAACTCAAAAAGAAAGAGTCTTTTATGTTGAGGTTTTGGTTATGGATTGGTATGAAGGAAGGGATTTCAAGGGGAATTTTTGAAACATGAAACTTTTGAACTAGTCATCCAAGTCAATAAACAAATTTTGGTGTTGGAAACGAGTTATGATTGTAATAATATATTTAGATATTATTGGTGGATTCGTACAGATATCCAATATTAATTTTGCATAACAAATTTCCACCATCCAAAAACTTTTAGTTTTAAAACTATTTTTACTAGAAAACTGAAGTATGTTTTGTTTGAGATATTATTATACATACTTATTAAAGTATGTATTCTACAAAGTTTATTTATAATACAAGTTATATTGTACGCTTAAATAGTGATAGTTTATACTTTGAATAGGAACTCACTAGTTGGATCAAGATACTTGATCAGTTTGGCAGTTACGTGGACTTTGTAGCTTTGGGACCAGGTAGGGGTTGCTTGGGAAACCTCATAAACATTTATTCTTTTATTATCTGATTAATACATATTGATTGATATTTATCTATGTAGTTGGATTCATAAACTCATTGCCTATATGATTGCTTGGATGGATTGATATACATGTTTTTCATGCATTTGTTAAACAATGAACTGATTACCTTGAGTTGAGATTCTTGCGAAAGAGATAGGGAATTGGGCAATGAGGAAGGCTTTTGTGTAGTTGAGCCTAATTCTTGGCAAGTACCAGGTCTCAACATATCATTTTTCTAATGTGTTAATAGGGTTTGAAGAGAGAAACTTTGTGCATTCATACATATCATTTTTCTAATGTGTTTTAACTACATAAAAATAATATACTCATGGTTATATATATATATATATATATATATTGAGGCATAATGTCCCTACTGAGCTTTATATTCACCCTAATTAAATTTGTGCAGGTTCGGAACCAGATAATTAAGTCATGTGCTAGAGATGTTACTTGATGTATGATATGTGTAAATAGAAATAAAATAAAGAACTTGGTGGTGTTTGCTCTTTTGTTTGAATAAGGAACAAGCAGCTTTATGTAAATTTATGTAAAGTGTACTTTGTAAAACTTGAGAATTATCTCTTGGTAAATAAATGTGAATTATGTTTGAACAGATTTATATCTTCTAAATAATTTTTTTTTCTTGCCTTTCTTCACTATTTAACTATGGATTAATTTGTTCTTAAAGATTTTATTCCATATTAAATTGTGAATCATGCCTTAATTAGAGTTTTAAGTTAATACTCCTATTAGGGTGTGACAATTCTTCCAATTACTTATGAATTTCCACATACATGCTTTGAATGTTAGGTTTTCCTAATACATATTTTCCTCGTGATGTTCAAGCGAAAACGTATATCTAACATGCAACCCATCTGTGATGTTCAGATCAAATATAAACATGCAAGACTCATTAAATTTTGTGAAAACCTTTTGAAAAACCATGCAACCCTTAAGAGCGTGATGTTCACTTTAAGTGAACTTACAATTACTAATCACAATAAGCCCTTTTCAATTTCAGGGTGACGTTCCAACATAAATTGTATCAAATTATTTGTCTAAAAAACCTAATGATCGTGAATCACTAAGACGATTAGATAGTTTAATCGCGGTGATTAATAATTCAAAGCATGAATGCAATCAATCATAAGCAATTAATAAAATCATATATTCATGCTAAGGCTCAAGGCATCGTCGTAGCAAAAGAACTAGTTACGAACAATCATAATAAAAACGAAAGAAAATATATTAACTAGAAAAATGATTGAAAACACCTTGTAGGTAAAAAAATCTGAAGTTCTCCAAAATAATGCGTCTCCCAATGTTGTGTAGAGAACCCTAATGACTATAAAGTCTTATTTATAATACTCCAAATTAAAACCCTCGTAGAAAAGGTTTTCTAAAAACTAGGAAATAAAATAACAAAAGGATAATTAGGAATTACATTCCTATTCTAACTAAGAAATCAGCCTAGCAAAGATATAGCCACGTTTTCGGACCTTTAGGGTTCCAAAACAGACCCAAAATGGCTAGAATTAAAGCTTAAAATGTCCTGAACATAATTGCAGAAGGCCTCGAAGACAAAAGACATCATCTTGGATGCCAAAAAGCCCAAATAAGCCTAAAACATTACTTTGACAGCATTGTGCTGTGTCTTTATTTCATCGCCATAATTAAACCGCTTGATAGAAAATTATGAAACTTTTACATGAAAGTTGAGAGACACATGAATGTCCTCCAATTTGAATCAATCCCAAATTCGTCTGTTTCATCATGTTTTGCTCTAGAGGAATTCGAATGTCCTACATTGAAAATATAAAGTCAAGTATTAAAATTTTACCAAAATAATTATCAAATTATACTAAGAATAGGGTAAAATATACAATATAATATTGACTTTTCAATGAACTTTTTCAATATCAGACTTGAGGCACTGGGCGAAAATATCCGAAACACAGTCGTGCAAGAAGAGGTAATCAGTGTCACGCTTGTATCTATGAGCTGCCTTGTTGGCTGTATCTTTTTATTGATTTTCTTCATTTGATATGATGGCCGAACATAAAGTGTGAAAAGTAAAATTAAATGTGTGAATAACATCACTCTTGAAAGGGTAATGCTAAGGAGACTAAATTTGTAGTGTAAGATCCCACATCGTCCAGGGGAGAAGAGGTGATGTGCTTTATATATACATGTTCACCTCCTTATAGTAAGACGTGTTTTGGGTGGAAGCCTAAAAACAAATTCGTGAGGGCGTGGCCCAAAGCGGACAATATCTTACTATGTGGACTGGGATATAACATGTAGGCTAAATTTTTAAACTAAATAATGTGTCACTAATAGGAAATGAACATGTTTATCAACGTTTAAGTAATAATACAATAATTAACTTCCATGTCATTACTTTACAAAATTAAATCTACAAATTTAGTTTCCTTAGTATGGCTCCTCTTGAAAAATCACTAGAAATGAACCTTAATTACATTGACATCTATTAGTGTTATGTAACATTTTTTTTCCAAAAAAACAAAAGATGTAACAATTTTTTGGTCACATGCATTGTGACATACTGACATGTAACATTTCCCTCCATTCTTAATCCGTTCCTTATTTACAAGGTGGAGTATGAAGATGGTAGAAAATACTTAACTAGTGATATATATATATATATATGTATGTATGTTTCAAATTTGTGAAAGAAAAACATTACATTAAATTAATAGAAAGCTTTATTTTAATCGCTAAATAAGATTAACTTTTCAATAATACTGTATTGAAGATTAAAAACTAAAAATAATCCTTTGACTCGTGTCCACACGTCAGATTATACAATTCATGTCATATTTAATTATTTTTCTACAAATTTATTATATTTTTAGTTTTCCTGTATTGCCCTTAGGCGTAGATAAATGTTTAAACGTTTGGGAGTTAGAGGTTCCTCCGGTCTCTCTGCATTCGGTTACGATTCAGCTCTCCATCTCTGGACTCATTGAAGTTTTTTTTTTTCCCTTTTTCTCTGCCGATGACGATGCTCACGCTTCCTTTCTATATTAATCCTGAAAATTAGTTTCCCTTTATTGGTTGGATTGTCTCATTATCAATTTCCAGTAATCATCCTGATTTTCAGAATTTTCTTATATAAACTCTTGGGTCCAAAATCAAGGTGAAGCAGTTGTTGTGTTATTGATTGGTGATCCGTGCATACTAGACTATTTTTCGTTCGGGTTTTCAGCATCAATTCCGACCAATCCATGCATTATGGGGTAAATTCTGTAAACTGTAAAATGTTTTTCTTTATTTGTGATTCAAATAATGTGTTTTTCTTTATTTGTGATGCATATAATGTGTTTGATGAAATGCTCAAGTGAATTCTTTTTGAATGATCCCGCACATGCCAACTTGGTGGCATAGTTTTACCAATCTGTGCATTAGTGAGAGTTTTGATGGCACTTTGTACCAAATTTTATAGTACATCATAACGTCATTTTTACTAAACTGTGCACAGCCCCTTTCATATATGTCCCTGGTGCACCAAGTTCTGTAGTATAATTTTACCAGACAAGGCATTGTGACAGGTGATGCATAATTATCCTGTGTGAACAAATTGTGTAACTATGCATTCATACATCTTGTTTGCTTTCAATTGTTTGTTTAGGAGATTTGACCATTTTGTCTCATTCTTAGGTGCGCACGTTTAGTTCATTGTACTCACTTTCTTTGATGTTTTATTTGTTTGTAGGAGAAATGGACTTGGCTGTCATTGCCTCCTTTAGGTGGTTCAAAAATGGCAGCAATATATGCAGCTGTTATCGCCAAACGCTTACCACCTATGTCAAAGCAATTAAGATCCTTATTGTATGTCTCTAGTATATCAATAACATCACAGTCGTTCTTCCGTGCATCACTTGTCGCAATGCCTTCTCTGTATGTCCTGAATAAGCCCCAAAATGGTGTCCTCTCCATAAGTTCTAGGTGGATAGGTTTGATATGATTTTGAAAATTTTGGTAGGCTTCTGCAAAAGTCCCCATGTTAGACTTGTATTGTAGGATTGAATATTCACTCCTCTTTCGCTCCATAATTCCTGTAACCTGTGGATTCATACAAGATGGAAACTCATTAGGGTTTAAAAAATGATTGAAATGCATCAGGTATTACAACAAGATGGATTAAATTAGTCCTCAGGTGGATTGAAACATAATTAGTACAAATGGTACCAGCTTTTTCATACCTCAAATCTTTCGGACCTATACTATAAACGTAATTAAATGAAAGTGTGCCCAAATTGATCTTACCGAATCAAACTGACCTAAACATCATAACATAAGTAATTGAATTTACAACTTAAATGGCCATACCAAATCGATCGGACCTAAATGGTTGTACAAAAATTACGAAAAAAAAAAAAAGAAAAGAAAAAAAAATGGCACTTCACAGCCAGCAAAAACTTTAGGCCATATCCTCAGGATTTGTATTCTCTTTGGATCCCCTCCTTGGGGATCCCGGAGATCAAACCATAAGGACCGTTCATAAAAAATCGTGCGATCATAATTAAATGTTTTTTTTACACAAAATGAGATTGCTTTATTTTTAAAAATATAAAAAATGTTTAATTGTGGCCGCACGATTTTTTATGAACGGTCCTTGTGCCTTGATCCCCGGGATCCCTAGGGAGGGGATCCGGAGAGTATCCAAATCCATATTCTCATTCCCTTCCCAACTAAGATGCACATACACTATTTTTCAATGAGCTTTCATCCTCTGCTTTACATCCTATTCTACCTGCAAATTTGCAATGTTCCAATCTCATTTTTCTTTACGCTTTTCTCAAATGCATTCAATTTTTTTTTTTTTTTTTAGATTTGGATTCAATAATTTAAAAATGAGTCTAGAGATAAATGAAAAAAAACAATTTTGTATGCAGAGAAAATGACTATAGTGTACCTAAGTGACCATACCGAATGGAAATAACCTAATTGACCGTACCGAATGAAGAGGACCTAATTGACCATACCTAATAGAGAGGATCTAGTCAAACTCGGATTTGAGAAGATTTTAAAAGACTATAAAATTTTAGTGCAGTCAACTAAAAGATTTTAAAGGATTTTAGAATCCATGCAAATCTAGGTGTAGTCTATTGAGATTTTATTAGAGATTTTAAAGTCCATCCAAATCTTATTAAAGATTTTATTAGAGATTTCAATAAGTAATGAATTTTGTGGGATTTGAGAGCAAGAAGTATATATAATCAAAACCAAAAAAAATCCGACCACACCCCTTAGAATTTCAAATCTTATTCCATCTGGATAGTCCTCAAATTTCTATTAACCCCAGCCACACACAGTGACAAACAACACCTAAAATGTGCGACGAGAGAATCTGGCTCAGATTTTATCAAGCACTTTCCCTCCATTTGCCAATACTACCTTTGTAATTGGTAACAAACTGAAAGCGCTCACCAAACCTTTTTGTAGGCACTGTTTGCTGAAGGTACATGAAGGTCGACCTTCTCTCAGCCCTATAAAAGCGTAACACTTTCTCTTCCACATCCCATCCCTTCTGCTTTGCGCCTCCTATCTCTCTCTGTCTTTTATTCTCTTTAAAACTCTCGCTCTT